GTGTGTGAGCGTGCTTCTTCACTGAGTCTGCAGGTACAGAGCTGTTTGACGGCGGTTCATGATGGAGCCGCAGGTTACTCTCAGTGCAGCTGTCGTTGGGAGATTCACTTTCCTTGTTTTTAAGCTGTAAAGACATTGCAGTCTGTTCTTTCAGCTTTTCTTTTAACTCCTGGATGTTTTTCTCAAACTTTCTTTCTCTTTGTATTGAGACCTCTTTCATTTTTGACATTTCAGCCTTAAATTTCATGTTGATGTTGTGCAAATCCTTAATTTCAGCCTTGAGATTATTGATGGTGAATTCATCTGGGCGGCTCAGGATTAGCTGCTTTAATTCTGACACCTCCATCTCTAGAAGAGCCATTTTCTGGGGAAGACACTGGAGATATCTGTGAGCGTGTGTGGCCTGCTCAGTGATCGGTTCATCAGATGGGGCCGGAGATGTGCTGACTGGAGAGCAGGGCAGCACTTCATTCTCATCTTCAGATTCTTCTTTAACACTGCAAGCTGTTTCCTCCTCAACTGTCTGCTTTAAAAGGGGAAATGATTTTTCAAAAGCTTGGAGACTAGCTTCATTCCCTTGAATTAAGACCGTGTAAACAATTTTTAAAGTTTGGGCTCCTAAACATGATGTACTCTGCTTGACTGAAACCTGGCTAAAGCCAAATGATTATATTGGTCTAAATGAGTCTACTCCACCAAGCTACTGTTATAAGCATGAGCCCCGTCAGACTGGTCGTGGCGGCGGTGTAGCAACAATATATAGTGATATTCTCAATGTTACTCAGAAGACAGGATACAGGTTTAACTCATTCGAAATACTAAAGCTTAATGTTACACTGTCAGATATGCAAAAGAAATATATCGTATCTCTTGCTCTGGCTACTGTGTATAAACCACCAGGGCCATATACAGATTTCCTAAAAGAATTTGCAGATTTCCTCACAGACCTATTGGTTACTGTTGATAAAACGCTAATTGTCGGAGATTTTAACATTCACATTGATAATACAAATGATGCATTAGGACTTGCGTTTACTGACCTAATAAACTCTTTTGGAGTCAAGCAAAACGTCACCGGGCCCACTCATCGTTTTAATCATACGCTAGATTTAATTATATCGCATGGAATTGATCTTACTGATATAGATATCGTACCTCAAAGTGATGATGTTACTGACCATTTCCTGGTATCGTGCATGCTGCGTATTACTGATATTAACTATATCGCTCCGATGGCTCTGCCGGGCAGAACTATTGTTCCAGCCACCAAAGACAGATTCACAAATAACCTGCCTGATTTATCTGATTTATCCTGTGTACCAATAAGTACACATGAACTAGACGAAATGACTAGCAACATGGGCACTATCTTCTCTAATACATTAGAAGCTGTTGCCCCCATCAAATTGAAAAAGGTTAGAGAAAAACGTACTGCGCCATGGTACAACAGTAATACCCATTCTCTCAAGAAAAAAACTCGTAGTCTTGAGCGCAAATGGAGAAAAACTAACTTGGAAGTTTTTAGAATTGCGTGGAAAAACAGTATGTCCAGCTATAGACAGGCTCTAAAAGCTGCCAGGGCCGAGCATATCCACAAACTCATAGAAAATAACCAAAACAATCCAAGGTTTTTATTTAGCACAGTGGCTAGATTAACAAATAACCAGACACCACCCGATCTAAATATTCCCTCACAGTTTAATAGTAATGACTTTATGAATTTCTTCACTGATAAAATAGATAACATCAGAAATACAATAACAAATGTAGATTCTACAGCGTATAATACTTCAGCTTCATTCATCGCACCAAAAGATAAACTGCAGTGCTTTACAACTATAGGACAGGAAGAGCTAAATAAACTTATCACTGCATCTAAACCAACAACATGCCTGTTAGATCCTGTACCCACTAAATTACTGAAAGAGTTGTTACCTGTAGCAGAAGAACCGCTTCTCAATATTATTAACTCGTCGTTGTCTTTAGGTCACGTCCCAAAACCATTCAAGCTGGCGGTTATTAAGCCTCTTATTAAGAAACCACAACTAGATCCTAGTGAACTGGCAAATTACAGACCCATCTCAAATCTTCCTTTTATGTCTAAAATTTTAGAAAAAGTTGTGTCCGCTCAATTGCGCTCCTTCCTGCAAAAAAATGATCTCTATGAAGAATTTCAGTCAGGTTTCAGGCCCCACCATAGCACAGAAACTGCACTTGTTAAAATTACAAATGACTTGCTTCTTGCGTCAGACCAAGGCTGTATCTCATTGCTAGTTTTACTTGATCTTAGTGCTGCGTTCGACACTATAGATCATGACATACTCATAGATCGATTACAAAACTATACAGGTATTCAAGGGCAGGCTTTAAGATGGTTTAGATCCTACCTGTCCGATCGCTACCACCTTGTTCATTTAAATGGGGAGTCATCTCAATTATCACCAGTAAAATATGGAGTGCCACAAGGATCTGTCCTAGGTCCTCTGCTATTTTCGATATACATGTTGCCCCTTGGTAATATTATTAGAAAATACGGGATTAGCTTCCACTGTTATGCAGATGATACTCAACTATATATCTCAACAAGACCAGATGAAACTTCTAAATTATCTAAGCTAACAGAATGTGTTAAAAATGTAAAAGATTGGATGACCAATAATTTTCTCCTATTAAACTCGGATAAGACAGAGATATTACTTATTGGACCAAAAGACAGTACACAGAATCTCGTGGATTACAATTTGCAACTAGACGGATGTACAGTTACTTCCTCTACAGTCAAAAATCTGGGTGTTATATTAGATAGCAACTTGTCTTTTGAAAATCATATTTCCCATGTTACAAAAACAGCATTCTTCCATCTTAGAAACATTGCCAAACTACGAAATATGTTACCTGTTTCTGATGCAGAAAAGCTAGTTCATGCATTCATGACCTCTAGACTGGACTATTGTAATGCACTGCTAGGTGGTTGTCCTGCATCCTCAATAAACAAGCTACAGGTAGTCCAAAATGCAGCGGCTAGAGTCCTTACCAGGTCAAGAAAATATGATCATATTACCCCAATTTTACAGTCTCTGCACTGGCTACCTATTAAGTTCCGTATCAGTTACAAAATATTATTACTTGCCTATAAGGCCCTTAATGGGCTAGCTCCTGCGTACCTAACTAGTCTTCTACCACGCTACAATCCATCACGCTCCCTAAGGTCGCAAAACTCTGGACTTTTGGTAGTACCTAGGATAGCAAAGTCCACTAAAGGAGGTAGAGCTTTTTCGCATTTGGCTCCCAAACTCTGGAATAGCCTTCCTGATAACGTTCGGGGTTCAGACACACTCTCTCTGTTTAAATCTAGATTAAAGACACATCTCTTTGGCCAAGCATTCAAATAATGCATATCATAATCTTGTACTGCAGTTATATCTGATCAAATGCACATTATTATTCTTTAGTTTGGGTTAAACAAATAAATTTTGCTTGGTTGGAACAGCAGCTACGCTAATTATGTCCCTATTTGTTTCTCTGTTTTTGCCACAGGATTGACATCCCGTGGTAACTAGGATTTACACAAGCTTCAGTCTGGATCCAGAACACCTGAGAAGAGATGATGCCAACCCCTCAGAGGACCTCAGATGATGCCAACCCTGAAACAACCCACCAGATCCAGTCTGTATCCAGATCAGATGGTCACTGCAGTCACCCGGATCCAGTACGTATTCAGACCAGATGGTGGATCAGCACCTAGAGAGGACCTCTACAGCCCTGAAAGACAGCGGAGACCAGGACAACTAGATGAACACCAGATACAGATGTTATTCCCCTGCCACATTTTGCTATAAGTTTGATTGCATCATATAATCATTGCTGTTAGTAGTGTTCGTCTGTTTGATTACATCTTTAATTGATTTTTCCGTACATTTCTGCCATATGTACATTAACTGACAGTCACCACTGATAAACTACCACTAAATATTGTAGAAACTTAATTTGCTGTAAAGTTGCTTTGCAATGATTTGTATCGTGAAAAGCGCTGTACAAATAAACTTGAATTGAATTGAATTGAATATAGAATGCTTGAAATCTTTTCTTTTGCTAATTTAAGTTATTCCCTGTATTTTTTGTTGTTGTTGTTTATTTGAAACAGACATGAGATGATGAAAGCTAATAATTAATAATACTCATAATAAGAGCAACCTAAAATATTTTTTTTTTTTAACTAAGAAAAACAATAAAGAAAAGATGAAATATTCTATTTGTTTACCGCACTTCCGCTCGTAACAGGCACCTGGCTCTCAAGCTGACGCTGCGGTCCCTTTAAGCGTTGCCGGGGCGACAGTGTTTGTGTCCGTGTTCCGGTTCTGCTCTGCGCATGCGCGGAAGACTCGTTCGGCGAATCTAACCAAACACTCCGTGACTCCGTCGCTCGCAATGGCGCATTACAGAGTGAGTAAACTAACCTACAGACCCCAGACTAAGAGTTTTGATACGCTACTAATGACAAGTTTGTTTCTGTGAAGCTGCTTTGAGAACAGATTAGATGTTCGTAGCTTTTAAAAGCCTCTTTATGTCGTGTGGCTTTAATGGCCGCAGTATAGAGTCCGCATCTGCGGTTTCTCCGCTTCTCTCCGCGATGTCTGAAGTGTTTTTAGTGCATGTGTGAAGTCTCAAGTTCACACAGGTGCAGGGAATCACATTAACTAACCCAAAACTGACTGTCTTCACCTTCAGCAGAATATTGTTTTACTCTGTTATTTAATGAAACACTCTAAGTGTGATTGAGTCGTGAGCACAGGGTAATGAGGAGAGTTACACACACACACTTCAGCAGCTCAAGTAAGCTGTGTTTCTCGCTCTTCAGGCCTCCGAGTCGAAGCGAGAGCAGTTCAGGCGATATCTGGAGAAGGCCGGGGTCCTCGACAGTCTCACCAACGGTAAGAAGATGATAACCCACCCAATGAACGAAGGCCAGTCCGCTCTTTTGTGTGTGTGGCTGATTTGATCTTCTGTGTTTCAGTCTTGGTGGCTTTGTACGAGGAAACCGAGAAGCCCAGCAATGCCTTGGCGTATCCTTACACTGCTGTCCGGAGAAATCAGCTGCTCCTCAAGCCAGAGTTCAGCCAGACGTGAAGACCAGTCCTGGTTTACTCACCCTGGTGCTGTTCTAATGCCCTACACCCTTCTTTCTTTTTCAGGAGATGTTTAAAGAAACGTCCTCGCACACCAGTATCAAGCTTTTATAAAGAGACGCAGAAGTGTCACCGAATGATCGTGTGTTCTGAGGGAATACAGTGGCGCTCCAGAGATAGTGAAGAAAGCACAGATAGTTTATTGGGTCTCGTGTGCTTGTTCTGGGTTCGTCAGATGAACAGCAGTGCTTCTCAAACCCCTGAATTAACTCGTCAGCTGGTTAGACTCGAGCCGGGAGAAACATCGAATGCGCAGTGGTTTACAGAAACCTACGGCCAAGGACAGGACATTTGTTAAATAATACATTACACTTAAGTTTGTTTTTCACCAAATCCTGTCACACAGACCAGAACACTTGGACTATACGGCACGTTTCTCCTGGGGTCATTCTCTGATACTTTTGCATCTTTTTTTAAAGATCGATGCTGATCACTATTAACTAATATATAGACGGTTTCTTTAAATTTCCCCCTTGTGGTCTGAAAAAGAAAGAAGGGCAGTAAATGATGACTGGATTTTCATGTTTGGGTGAACTATCCTTTAAAGTGTGGTGCTGGGCCAATTAACACCTGCAAAATACAGTCATGTCTATAGTTACTCACGTGACTGGAAAGATTTCATGCTTCATACATCACTGATCATACATACCATTGTTCCTGGGAGATTTCTCTAGTGAAACTGCTTTTAGTGCAGAAGTTGCAAACATCAGCGGCTGTGAAACAGGATAATGTTAATAATGTAAAACAAAAGATCTCTGCTATAGTATAAAGAAGCTACACTGGAAGTTCCTGAAGCAGCATGTTGCGTCACGTGTGCTAACACATTTGTGAATGCAGTAATGTCAAAGCTTGTGATGTTATGAAGATACTGAGTTAAATGACGTTAGATGTTAAGTGTGTTATAAAAATAAGACCGCTGCAGTGAGAGTAATTGAGGTCATTTACACGGTTCGGTCAGTGGAAACGTGAGTCTTTCTGAGAGAAGATCTCCGCTCTGGCACCATTTGAGCGTCAGGGTCCCGGCAGGTTAAACAGCCTTAACTAACCCACCCGTCAGCTTCATCAAGCATCAGCTGGGGGTCGGACCCGAGGCCGATGATGCCGAGAGTCTGCGGCTGGAGCTGAACACTTTACAGCAGAAATATGATCAGCTGATGGAGGAGAACAAAGAGCTGAGGAGCCGGGTGAGATATTAAATATATATATATATATATATATATATATATATGTGTTCGTGTGAATTACAGCTGCTGCAGTACGAGCCGGCGCAGGACGCGGGAACAGAATAACTACTACTTCTTGACATTTTGAGATATTTCTTCACAGCAGTAGAAATCTTTGAGTTTGTTCGTTTTGTCATGTCGTAGAAGTGATTTTTTTTTTTGGTTGTTCAGCAAATTTGTGCCTGATATTTAATAAAAGCATTTTCTGCACTGTTCCTGATTGATTTCTGATGTTTAGTGATTTATAAAACTACAAACTATAGTTCTGTTTTATGTAACAGTTGTACACTTGAAGACCATGCTAAAACAGGCCTCAAAGTAAGGGCTTTGTGTAAAATATTGGGGCTTTTTATAAATAATGCATTACTGTGATTGCTTACATCTAAGAAACTTGCAGTCACATTTAGACTGTTTTAGGGCTTCTGGCCCTTGTTTCAAAGATAATATCGATTCCCCCATGACTCCAGCAACAGGCAGTGATCATGTGCAGGACAAACGATGCTGACGCTGCGGTCCGTTTGCTTTGACTGCTTTAGCTTTACATATTACTATACACTTCCATATGTGATCTTTTCCACAAAACCCTGCACAGATCAGTAGCAATCCAAAACTTTAATGCAGGTTAATCAGTTGCATTTGTGTAACAGCCATATCCTACTAAATAACCTCAAATGCTTAAAGTGCATGACATAGTTCTGTGTTCTGTGATCAAATTAATTGTCAGCTGGCTGAAACTCTCCAGATGTCCATCACAGAAATGTGAAACAGCAACTTTGTGACAGATCCACTGGATTATGGGAAGTAATCCCCCAGATTTGTATCTTTGTCTTAATGCACATAGTTCAGTGCATGGGTTTGTATAACCCTTACAGAATCTGCGAGATACATATTTAACAACAACAAAGATATTTTATCTCTGCATAACTTCTGCAAGCTTATACAAACTGTTGCTCTCGACTGTATGCTGGTGGACGATAAGAGTTAGATTCCTGTACTCCGCCTGTCTGCTGCTTACAGCCTCACTGCAATACCTATGCATTAAAACATCATAATTCTACAGATAAATGCAAATTCTCTTTTCATCAAAACAAGTCTTTAAAATGAGACTTCCTCTTAAAAAGCTTGTCTTCCAGGCCATTACCAGCAGAGACCACTGTGCACATCACTAGACACTCGGATATGTGTTATAGATGGGTTGAGCTAAAAACATCTATAAATACGAAACCCAACACACAGTCACGATGCCTCATTCTTTAAAGGTGAATACTGAAAAGCTCCCGGCAGTAAATAAAGCTTCAATCCTTGTGTTCAAAGCGATAGCTCACCCAAAAATGATCATTCTGTCATCATTAACATATATTTCCTATCAGTTTCTTTCTTCTGCTGAATACAAAAAAAGACATTTTGAAGAATCTTTTAATCAAAGATCTGATGGTCCCCATCGACTTGCACAGTATTTATTTTTTCAGTCCATGAACTGTTTGGTTACACACATTCTTCAAAATATCTACTTTCATGTTCAATAGAAGAAAGAAATTCATACATGAGGGAGAGTACATGATGACAGAATGATGATTTCTGGGTGAACTATCCCATTGTTTCCCACAGGGTTTTGTGAGTCTTTGGTGGGAGGTCCTCGGTTCCTCTATGAGGGGTCCGGGGGCATGCCCCCCTGGAAGAAAATGTTGTACATTTTAAAGTTAAATTCATAAATCTGGTGCACTTTGACAGTTCAAAATTAAGAGCTCCAACACAGGTTCAGTGTGCAAACTAAAAGAAAAAAGCTGGTGAATGTACTTGTTCTTGAAATTTAAAGGGGACTCAACCCTCTTTTTAGTGGTGATAGTGTCTCAGCCTCACTGGTGAATTTGGAAGCCAAACAAATTAGAATAAAACAATAATAATAATTTTATATTATTATTCTTAAAAAATAAAAAAATTTGAATTTGAAATTAGAACCAACCACTGCATTTTAATCACGATACAAAGATACAAAGATGAAACCTGCATGAAACCGAAACAGACATGCTGAATGAGAACGCAGATTCAGTCTCTGACAGCAGGTGGCGCTTATGGATCAGCAGTGATAAGAGAGGAAACAATGCCATCCAGTCAGGTCCCTTCAGAAATACATTCATATAAACCCCAACCCCAATATTTATATTTTTCTTCTGAACAGTGAGCTTGCTGTGCCTGTACAGTATATTCTCTGTGCGCGTCTGTTAATTTGAGGCCATGCTTGCAAGAGATAAACCCTTGAGCTTTTATTTTGGCGGAAAACTCCAGCTGCTGTGAAAACAGGTTTTCAAACATTACTAATTTAATTTAATACTGTAAACATTTGCCCATTAAAATGTTGAAAATTATGCAAATGTGAAAATAAAGCATAACTGGTGGCCATTGCGTTCCCAAACGCGTGCTAAACTCACCGCACATTCAATAACGGAGTTCACTGCAGTCACTGTGAACAGAGCCGCTCTGAGCCGCGGAAAACACCGGATCACAAGTCGATCGCGTGTGCAAAGTGTGCGCTTCACTTCGAAACAAGCAGCACAAACAGACTTGATAGGTCATATTACGCTTTCGGTTTTAATTCGTTTGACGGATACTTGCCAAAGCAATGGCGTGAAACACAACGTTAAATAACCTTTATGTTATATGAGAAGAATAAATATATCTTCGGTTTATTATGAAACTGTGGCGGGACAGATTAGACTGTGGCGGGCCGCCTAGTTAATGAATGGGAAACACTGCTATCCCTTTGATTAAGACTAAAGAGAACAGCTTGTAATTACTGTGAGAAACAGAGCCTCAGATCTGCAGGTCGCTGGCTGCTCGTCTGCTGCTGCTCGCCAGTGAAGTTTGTTGCCGACTGGGTGAGAAGGAGAGACTTTCTACAGAACCGTGTTCCCGTGAGCCGGAGCTGGGCTCAGAGTGTGTGTGTGTGTGTGTGTCCCGCCGGCCCTCCTCAGGTCGGCCCTGCCGCTGTCTCCGCTGTCCGAGCCGTTCCCTTCCACCACCGTGCTGCAGTTCCAGGCCGGACTGGCTCCCCCCC